GGGGGGGGGGGGGGGGGGGAGGCTACCCAATAGCCAAAATGTTACCCAATAGCCAAAATGAAACAAAGTGGTCCTTTTCTGGTTGCTAAAACCAGCGCTCTAACGGAGTACGGAGCATTAAAGGAAGAAGAGGGACAATTGTTTTTAAGGAAACAAACAGAAAGTCTTCCCAAAGGTGCTAAGATGATGTTGAAGAAAAAACCAAGGGTTGGCCGGGCATTGGGGCCGCTGGGCTGGGCGTCACAAATCACGAGTCATTTTCCCCCAACAAAAAAACATGAAGGAAAAGCCAAGCCCGAAAAAATGGACCGGAATTGAACCGGCTGAGATTCAAGTTGAAAATGTAAAACAAACAAATCGAATCCATAATTATGAAATTTATTCATATTTGAAAAAGATATAATTATTCATATTTTTTTATTTGAATATTTGGTAATGTTCGTATTCTTTTATAAAATATAAATTTTGAGTTTTTTTATTTTTTATACCTTTAAATTTTGGGGACCATAGTATTGGAGAGTATGAGACAAATGCTCAGCTCCTTTGCTGATCAAAGTGTTTTTGGTGAAAAATAAAAGGAAATGGCGAGGTGTACTGCTCTAATAATGAATTAGTGATTAGGTTTCATGGAGTATAGACCTATGGTATTGGGTCTTCTTATCAATTACTTCATATTTCAATTTATATTTACATATTCGTTTCAAATTATTTAAGTACTTTTTCTACATGATCCCAAAAAACTAAATATGTACTGTTAAGTTAAACTACGAAATACTGCAATAAGAAAACAAACAACAGAGTACACTATATATTATGCTCAGTATGTATTACGGAGTATAAAGCAATATATTGGGTATAAATTTTTATATTTATATTGAAATATATTCATTAACACATACGAAGTGAATGCATATACATTTGTATTCGTATTTGTTTTTTTAAATTCTCATAAATATTTATTTTCTTGTTCCTATTCATTTTTTGAATATAAATTATTGATTTCGAATACGAATCACAAATCAAAACAAAATTACTTGTTTAATTTGGTTTACAATCCTACTTAAGACCGATGCCGTGAGAGATAATTTTATTAAAATCGGACTAAATCGAATGGTTGGATTAGTCGAATTGAGAATGGTATATCATAAGATCTAGTCCAATGTGACAACCTAAAAAGGAAAAGGTTGGATTAGGTTGATTAAAAGTTGAAAATCTTGGGAACCGGTCTCAACATCGGTTCAATGGTCAATCCGGATTTTAGATTATTAGTGAGAGATTGTATTTTTTATATCAATTATATATTTGTTCATATTTCACTATATGATAGTTTGATACTACAATCTCTAGATTTTAATCATACTTTTTCTATCACAGAAAACGTTTATAATTTTTATTAATAAATATCTAAAAATGATTCATATTTCTCTATTTTATATCATAGAAAATAAATACTCCAACGCAAATAACTTTATTTATCTTTATGCTAAACAAATTTTAAAGCTTCATTCTTCAAATTTCACAATTAAAAATAGAAAATACGTAGTAAATAAGAATAGTAACCAAATTTGAATTCAAGAACGTTTCTTTTTCTGATTGTTGAACTCGATTTAACTTTGGACACTCTCCTTTTTTGTCCTTAATAGATTGAATCGGACCTTGGCCTGAAAAAGGAGAAAAATAAAGAGATTCTTGGGAGAGGCAAATTGAGGTGCATTGCATTTGTTTGTTCATGCATGATTAATTTTTTTAAAATTTAAAAATGTGATAAAAATCTAAGTTCTTAAAAAAATTATATGTCAATTGTCAAATAATCAAATATACTTTATGTCTAATTGTACATGTAAATTTATAAATAAATTAGTAGAAAAACTTTAAAAATACAAAATTAGAAAGGAATTTATCCTCTTTTATAGTCGTTTGACTCTTTAAGTTTTACAAATTGTAAGGATATGAATTTAAATTTTACAATAATATATTCAAGCAAGAATACCAAAACATACAAAAAATAAAGTAATTGACAAATATTTGAAAAAAGTGACTAAAGTAAATATATCTCCCAAACTGAAGAAGGTAAAGATACCCTCCCAAAATTAAAGAGGATATAATACATAGAAATCATCCTAAATAGGACTAAAACATAAAGAAAAGTACCAAAATAGAACTTCCATGTTTTTTTTCCGGGATAGGACTTTGCACTGTGGTAATGTGACTTTGCATTGTGGTAATGTGGCAGTATACATGTGCAAATTACAATACTTTTTTGGTAATGTACATGACCATGTTTGGTAATGTAGTCATATTTCGAGAATAAAAACATGGAAGTCCTATTTTGGTATATTTTCAATATTTTGCTCCTACTTTGGTTTTTCTCCCTATAATACATTCTCATTTATCTCTGCTTTTAGAGAATGAATTTTTGTTTAAAAAAGAGTAAATATAGTAATTATTTTTCGTTGCCCTCTCATTTAGCCATTCCAATGGAGTGATATAGAGTGATAATGAAAGAAAGGAACAAAGGGTTAAATATATATGTTTATTTCATAAAGAGTAAATTCCCAAAATAGTCCTTTGTAATAAAGAATTTTTCCAAATTAGTCCTCAGTAAGTTTTAATTACCTATATGGTCATCTATAATTGAGATTTATTCCCAAAATAGTCCTTTGTAATAAGATATTTTCCCAAATCAGTCTTTAATAAGTTTTAATTACCTACACTACAAGAATATGGCGTAATTGCAACGGCAGTTTCCGTTGCACTTTTTAAATATTTCCGTTGCTAATGGTGATTGCAACGGGATTTCCGTTGCAAATGTGCTGTTGCAAAAACCATTGTTGCAATTTCACTTCTGCAACGAAATTTCCGTTGCAGTATGTTTGCATCAGATTGTTGCAACAGAATTGCCGTTGCACATTGTTGCTACGGAATAACTGCAACAGTCATTCTGTTGCCACAGTTTGCTACGGTATTGCCGTTGCAACATATTGCATCGGAAATTTGCAACTATATTTTCCGTTGCAAACATTTGCTACGGAAAAAGAGCAAGAGCAACTCCATTGCTAATATTTGCCACGAAAAAAACAATCGCAACAGAATTTGGTAAAGTATGGACCGCAACAGAATGCTCTGTTGCAAAAATTAGAAAACCTACCAACCGCTTGTTTAGGGGATACTCAATTCTATACACAATCAATAGGGGATACTCAAACATTCTCAAACACATATGTATTCAATAAAACTAAAGTTTCAATACTTTCCATAAAACAAAATAACCTTCATGTACATGTCAAACATCTGAATAATAATATCTTTTATATTCTTGCACATTAAAAAAATTAACCATTAGCTAAGATATAGGCACACTTCCATCACCAT